AAAAAAAAAGGGAATTTTCCCGAATTTTGGGCTGGATTCCCAAAGCTGCTGCAACCAGGAGGAAAAAACGACGGCGGAGAGGAAAAAAGTGGAAAAAAAATCCAAAAAAAATGGAAAAAAAAGTGAAAAAAAAGTGAAAAAAAAAGAGGAAAAAAAGAGGAAAAAAATAAAAAAAAAGAGGAAAAAAAGGGAAAAAAAAGAGGAAAAAATAGTGAGAAAAAAGCCCCAAAACAGCGAAAAAAATCTAAAAAAAAAAGCGAAAAAAAGCCCCAAAAAATGGAAAAAAAGCGGAAAAAATTAAAAAAAAAAAGCTCCAAAAATTGGTAAAAAATCCCCAAAAAGTGAAAAAAATAAATAAAAAAAAAAGTCCCGAAAATTGGAAAAAATGCCCAAAAATTGGAAAAAAAGCACAAAAAAATGCAAAAAAAATCGACAAAAAAGTAAAAAAAAAATTAAAAAAAAAACCAAAAAATGCAGAAAGAAAAGCCCCAAAACAGCGAAAAAATCTAAAAAAAAAAAGGGAAAAAAAGCCCCAAAAATGGGAAGAAAGCGCCCAAAAACAGCGAAAAAAAATCCAGAAGAAAGGCCCAAAAATGAGGGAAAAAAGGCCAAAAATAAGCAAAAAAAAAGGCAAAAAAAGCCAAAAAAATGCAAAAAAAAATAATTTTAAAAAGTGAAAAAATTCCCCCCCAAAATCCCAAAAAATGCAAAAAAATCCCTCCAAAAAAGGCCCCAAAAATTGGAATAAATTCCCCAAAATTGTGAAAAAAATGCGAAAAAAAAGCCCAAAAAAAGCAAAAGAAAAATGAAAAAAACTTGAAAAATTGGATAAAATTCCCCAAAAATTTTTTTAAAAAAGTCGAAAAAATTCGAGAAAAATTCCAAAAAAGAAAAAATAAAATTCCAAAAAAAATGCGAAAAAAAGCCCAAAAATTGTGGAAAAAAATCCCCAAAAAACCTGAAAAAATTCGAATAAAATCCCCAAAAATTGTGAAAAAAATCCCCCAAAAAATGCGAAAAAAATCCCAAAAATTGTGGAAAAAAATCCCAAAAAAAGCGAAAAAAATCCGAAAAAATCCGAAAAAAATCCCAAAAAAATGCGAAAAAATCCCAAAAATTGTGGAAAAAAAATCCCAAAAACAGCGAAAAAAAAGATGAAAAAAATGGAAAAAAATCCCCCAAAAAATGTGCAAAAAAGCCCAAAAACAGCGAAAAAAAAAATGGAAAAAAATCCCCAAAAAAGCGAAAAAAAATTCCAAAAAAAAGCGAAAAAAAGCCCAAAAATTGTGGAAAAAAATCCCAAAAACAGCGAAAAAAAAATCTGAAAAATATAAAAAAAAAATCCCCAAAAAAGCGAAAAAAACTTCTAAAAAAATGCGAAAAAAGCCCAAAAATTGTGGAAAAAAAATCCCAAAAACAGCGAAAAAAATCCGAAAAAATCAGAAAAAAATCCCCAAAAAAGCGAAAAAAAAATTCCAAAAAATGCGAAAAAAATCCCAAAAACAGCGAAAAAAAAAAGAAAAAAAGGAAAAAAGTCCCCCCAAAAATGTGAAAAAAAGCCCAAAAACAGCGAAAAAAAAAATGGAAAAAAATCCCCAAAAAAGCGAAAAAAAATTCAAAAAATGTGAAAAAAAAGCCCAAAAATTGTGGAAAAAAATCCCAAAAAAAGCGAAAAAAAATCCGAAAAAAATCCCAAAAAAAGCGAAAAAAAATTCCAAAAAAATGCGAAAAAAATCCCGAAAAAAATCCCAAAAAAAAACCAAGAAAAAAAATGGGGAATTTGGTGCCAAATTTTGGATTTTTCCTTCCCGTATTCCCGGATTTTTTTAGGCAGGGCTTCCAAAATTCCTGATTATCTTCTAATTTATCTCCTCAGCGGTGGTGAGCGTGGTGGCTTCAATAAATTCGGTGGTAAGTCCCAAAATTCGAGGTTTTCACCCCAAAAAAAAAAAAAGGCAGAAAAAAAATTGAAAAAATTGAATTTTTTTAAAATTTTATTTTATTTTTTTTTCCCCCATTTTTCCTGGAGTGGAAACGGAATTTTAGGTGGAAAAAAAATTAAAAATGGGAATAATTTTTTTTAAAAAAAAAAGGTGTTTTGGTGGAAAAAATGGTGGAAAAA